CTAAAACTGCAAATCGATTTTTTTTTTTTTTTTTTTTTTAAATTTTATTTGTTTATTTATTTTTTATTTTTTTAATATTTTTTAAAATAATAAATCCTCTCTATTCGCCGTATACAAGGAAACGCGGTATGATGTTAATGTCGTACAATCATGAGAATGTATAGATGCGTTAGAATAAGAACAATCGAAATTACTTTCGAAAAATCAATCTAAGGTTATTTCCAGTGATTTATTCCATCGCCAATTGGAATGTGGGAGCACCTTAACACCGCATGACGTCATTGTTTAAAGTAAAGTATCAAATACACATGTGTTAAAGGGGAGAACATGCCATATAAAATCGTGTTAAATTTATCTGCAAAATATATCTACAGGCTTCCGACCCATGTTTGGACACCCATGTTGTACTACCCTATAACGTCTATACTTGTAATACTAGCATGAGCAGGATTTTGTCAATGCCCGTCTCCAAAGCAACACCCATCTTCCCTGTCCTTTCCTTTTCGTTCCTTTTTCTTTAATACCTTTATCAGCGCATCAAATCTGAACCTCTATGCTAGCTCGGCCTCGATAAAAGCTTCAAAAAATGACATTTTACAGAGTTCACCCGAAAAAAAAGGAAGCAAAAGAGAGAGGAAAGGGTAAGAGGTATAGGGGAATCTCTACGGAAAGGCCAAGGCAATGCAAGTCTTTTAAATGTACTATGCAAGCCAACTCGGTCTTCTTTGTCAAATCACTGCTCCCCAGTTGATTCAAATACAAAGGGCAAGTTACCGGTAATTAACGGTATATCGGCTATTTTTAAATGATTTTTTTTCCTTTTCTGAGGTGTATAATAATGGGCAAGCGCAGAGCGGAAGAGGGGAAACTAACGTATGCTACTCTATTCATCGTAATTTTTCCTGACATTTTGATTTAAGCATGCAATAAGGGCGTGTGGATGGGAGACGTATATCCAGAGTGTTATTCGGTATTAGAGCCGGTAAAATAGCCTTTGTGCAACAGGCATGGATTGCACGGATATCTTAAAGGGCAACGTGAGAGAGAACTCTGTCGGAGGGATTTCATTTTTTTTAATGCATGTCAATTAAAAGGTCTATAATTTGTACATGTTTGAATGCATCTAATAAGGGACCATTGTAGTGCTGTACCATCGACTTAGTATAAACAAAAGCATGGAGTTTTCTTTTGTTTAGGATATCACAATATAGAAGACAATTGTTCGATATATACAGTAATAGCGAGGGAATGACGTCACAACCTAAAGTTGCAAATAATTTGTCTTCGACAGATATCTTCTTATTTTATCTTTGTCAAATCATCAACTATCTCATTAACAGTCTCGTTTTATCTTTAAAACAAGACGTCATCAACGTGAGTTGGTGTAATCTTAAAGACTATCAAGGCTTCTTGAGAGTTCAAACCAATATAAATTAATGGTAATAAAGATGATAAAGACGACAGCAATTTCGTAACAAGGATAAGTGGCATTGAAAAAAGGGCGTTGCACGTCTATCAAATTACTTCTTTTTGATAAGGAAAAATATTCAAATTAGGGAGTAGATGAAATCAACAGATGAGGCTTTATGTGTTAATTTTTATGATTGAAGAAGAGAATAATGGGGTCTTTTATATGCATATTATCCTGCATGTTATAACTGGGAGGGCAATCGTTGACGCTTTGCTTTCGGCATATTTCAGCATTCTTATGTAAATTATGTCTACATTATATATATATATATGTGTGTGTGATATATATCAATTATGTTTCCGCCGATCATGTGTATAATTTCTGAATTATTATGGACAAACAAAATGCCCATCTCGAAGGTAAAATCTTATTTCGTTCTCCTATCGGATATAGACAACATATTTTTCATTCTAACGTTACAAGAACCTCTACTATAAACAGATGTGTATAATATATATCCGTCAAAAACCATAAGAGCTGTGGTCGCATGTCCTTTTTTATCACATAAAGTCAAAAGAGCTTTATAAATGGATTTCAGGAGCTTGCTAATATACTCTACGCAGGCTTTAAAAGCTTCTGATTCATGACCATACACTTTGATTCCGAGGTATTTTGAATATCGTGGAAACGAAGACTTCCATCGTGTGAGAAACTATCAAAAGGATGAATCAAAGGCGGAAGGTTTTCACGAAGGAAATGGGTGGATTCAGGATGGAATGCGTTTAATTCTGAACAACAGTTGTATGTGTCTTGGGAGAAAAAAAAGCTGCAATTCGGCCAGTGCAAAATATAATCTTCTGACGAGCAGGGGCTGAGGTGTTGGGAGTAGTAATGCATTGAAACCGTTAGGTTCCGAGTTCGAAACCGAATCGGTATATTAATATTGTTACCTTTAATTAAGTATTGCATCGATTTGTTAAGTTTACTACGGCTTACCTTTTCACCAATAAGGTATATTTAAACATCAACATCAAAATTTAAAGCAGTATCATTATTTATACTAGTATTTTTTTTTCCTCATGTTTATTCGCCTGTACTTGTACTTGGAACTGGTGGGGGAAAAAAAAATACTAGTAATACAAAAGAGGGAGGATGATAAAAGATAGGGGAAGAAGTGTAAAAAGCGGTTGGCCTCCCATGACTGCACACCCCCCCCCCCCTAAATCAATGCAGTCTTGTTCTCTCACATTCAGTTAAAGGTAAAGACCATTTATGGTCATGCGATTGCATTGTGAAAGAAACGTTGTGGAATCGATCAGAAAAGGTTGATCATCTAGCATCTAGCATCTGCAAGGTTCTGGAATCATCAAAATGATAAGAAATTTGGCCCATTCTTCGTAAAGTTACAAGCACTATACACAGAAAGATGTATATGGGACTACCCTATATCTCTCACAGACCATGAGAGAAACAAATTTACCAAATATATGAATTAGTAGGCGGTTTCCCGGTAATTTTTTTATCATCATGTATTAGTCAAAACATATTCTTTCACATGATTGGTAATGAGAGCTTCCATTTCATTTTTTGAAATTGGGGCGTTTCCAATACTGGTCTTTACCTTTAATGTAGTTAGTCCGGTCGATACCCATACTTCTACTGCTACTACAGGCTTTTGCAGATATACACCTGTATGAGGAAAACATTCGGCCATGCGCCACGCCCCTTTTTTCATCAAACCTTATTCGTTTATCTGTACACTTGTCATGGAATGACCCTTTTCTTGTTCTGAAAGTTATGTTTTAAGACTTGTGACGAGACTAGAAGAAATAGTTCGGAGAGGAAGACGAGAGTTGTTATCTACGTAATGGCAGTTCGCCAACAGCGACGACAGTCGCTAACAGTTTAGCAGTTTGCTTGCAGTTTCAGCATTTCTATGTTGAGATGGGAACTCTTTAGATAATCCTTAAGGTATGTTTATTCATTGAGTTATATTTCTTAAAATACAGTGCTGTAAAATGCCACTGAAAGTAGTTGCAAGTTATAGATTACAGTTGCACTATGCTATGGAAGCGATAGCCTAGATCTACCGGTATATGAATAGTCTATGTATAGTGACGTGAAACGAATCGCGAATATGGATTCGTTGAAAGTTTGATCGATAGTTTAGACGGTCTTTTGAAGACCTTTTCCTTTGTGAAAAGATAAAGTAGTTCAAAATTGATGGTTGTCAGGAAGATGATATGTGAATTTAACTTAGTTATGAGCATGGGTAGACTTTGAATAAGTTAAGACCAAATTATGTTTACTTGCGTATGTACGTGTGAAGGTATCTTAGTTACGAGAACCTCTTCACGCACGATGTAATGTGCGGATGAATATCATTTTAGAGATAACGTGATAAGTTCATGATTGTTAGTCTCATTTTAGGGCTTGAGAAAGTTTCTTGTTTGTGTTATTGATTATTCTTTTGTCTATGGTTATGCATTTATGCTTCTTTAAAGATTTGTGGTTTATCGAAAGTTGACATATTATTATAACTATAAAGTTTAGAATTACTGACACACGAATGGAACTTGAGTACATGTGGAAATTGGATTTCTAAGTGTTAAACGTATATCAAGAACATGTATTTAGTGTTTTCATTTGTTGTATTTTGCAGGAATTATCCCACACAGTTGTTGAATTTTTCTCTTCACTTTCCAATGATGGTCCACGACAGTGTCACAATAAAGGAACCAACATGAGTTAAACGGATGTCTCCTTTGTTTCATCATTGAATTGCAACAACGTGTCTAAAGCTAGAACTCACATAAATCCTTTGAGTCCGTATTCCATCACACACTGCACATGGATTTTTCTAATTTCGCAGTCCCCCCCCCCCCCCCTCCCTACCACTACCATCAACCATTCTGGACGCACGTCTAAATAATCCCTCTAATTCATCTGCTAGCCGCATCAAGAAGAAACCAAGAATCTATACAAAACTGGGGAGGCAGATTAAAAGATAGAGGGCGCAAAATAGCTCGAATACGATGCAATGTCCATTTCCGCAAACACTATTTCATCCACCCTAAAAAAATTGAATTACCTCTACTGATTATTTTGCTGCATTGTACATTTAAAGAACTGTACATATCTGTGCGTGCAATCTGTTGTGGTATTGTGTAAATGTATACTGTATTTTTTTGTGATTTCGTCTTGTGTTTTGATTATAAAGGCATTCCTCGTTAAACTTTAAATAATAAATGAATATTATTGAAAGAATATAATTGTATATAAATATGTTAAGGAAATACAATGACGAGAAGAATGACTAAAGGTATTTTAATTCAGCATTTGGCTAACTGCAGCCAAAAATATTGTCCAGGAAGGTTTATGGGGTTTCAGAAAGTTCATACTTAGCTTATTTTGATAGTTATGAATAAAATTCCTCACTTGTTCGAGAGCCGCTTGCATTCCTTTGACACTGCCTGTGATGGCTAATGACAATGGGAGGATGTAAAATGAAATACCAGGTTGGAAATGTTTGAAAATTAAATCACTTGCAAGACATTAAACACCAAGACCCAACCTCGGACACAGATCAAATGTTTAAACATCCGTTTATATTTATACGCTCAATCAAATACATATACATTCCAGATAATAAACCACATACAGGTATGTAAATTTGAATCGAGTTTTCAACAAGGCTTACCTATACTACTACATAATTACACTTATTGATAATACAGCATGTTCGAGCTCTTTTCAAACCGTTAAGAAATTATTTTTTTAAAGATGGAAAGTAATGTCCGTTTTTTTTTTTACAATCACATTAACCTACAGATGAATATAACGCAGTACTACATGCATATAAAAGACCTTATAATACACACCATAATTTAATTAGAACAACACACAGAGCCACTAAATTTTTCATATTTCTCCTAAGACTAATTTTGTAAAAAAAAACTTAAGAGTGTACCAGATTAGGATTACGATTTGTGGATAACAATAATTTACAAAATCAACCCCAAAAAGCTGTACCCAGCATTCAATGAGCTAACAGATAAGGAGTATGACGAAAATAATGAATAACAGAAACTGCTGTGCACAGAACCAGAGTCAGAACTTCATGTTCCTATAATTATCAAATGAGATTGTAAAGACAATTGCGAGAAATCAACCTAAGGCAATATCATTAACCTAGTCAGCTGTCCGAACATATTTACAATGATGTATTATGTAATCACGATATGATTTCTATAGCATACCTATACGTTAGAGATGAAATTGCCCTTGTGTTTATATGTGCAACAGTCTATGTGGTCATGTTTTTTTCTTCTTTTTTTTTCCTGTGTTTCAACCAAAAACACAAATACACATGTACTGCCAGTTAATCAATGTTAAAGGATCTTTTATCTTAAGAGGGCAACATCAAATACAATGTACCCAATTTCAGGCATATCCGCAGCAAAAGCTTGCATCATTTGCCCAATTGGATCGTTCTGATGTTCCGTAAATCAGATTTTTCAAATGCATTATTGAGATTACTAACATCTGGCATGAACAGTTGAAATGAAATGCAATTCCACAAATCAAATGCAAGTTGATATTGTCTGTTTGAAGCCATGAGGCACAGCTCTACAGTAAACAAGTTTTTTGGGGAAGGGGGCTTCAGGTTGTTTGTATGCATGAGCCTCATGTAAAAATGTCAAATTTCAGGCGGGGGGGATCAAACTTAGAATTTGGGCGTCCATGTGTTCTGGGCTGCATTTAGTGTTGACACCCTGCAGAAGTGCATTACATCTGTGTCTTCATATTATTTAGCTCAATCAGGGTGACCAAAAATTTTTCCTGCATACTTTCTATTTTGGCATTCAATTTAAGCCTGCGGTAGAGATTGTTGAATTCATGTTAAGAGAATATAGGAAGGGCAGGACATCTGTGTTAAAGTGTAAGTGTTGACACCCTGCAAAAGAGCATTATATTGTGTAATAAAGTGTAAGAGTTAACGCCATTCTGGCTCCAAACAGACAATTTCAACCCAGCCCCATAGCCCTTGCAAGAGATGCAGGAGGCCCATCGATGACTAAAATAATGATAGGGACTCCCTCTAAGCACCTGTTGAGGGGTCTTTCTCAGGTCCGATGTTTGCATAGAGCACGTCGTACGTATTCAGTGCATTTGACGGGAAGGATCCTAGCGTGTTGACCAGGTAATCTCTGCCCCCTCGGTTTATGGCGTTTAGCTCCACTGTGAACCTCACCTGCACGTAGGTTCCATTTTGCCTGCATGAAGGATTATTAAAAACAATAATAACTACATTTATACTGCGCACATATCCATCCATATCCATCTTATTAGTAGTAGTACATGTATTACCCCGGCTTTTTCCCAGCTGCCCTAAAGTGCTGAAAGCTATAAGAAGTGCTACTTATAGCTGCTTGCGCCCTCTACAGCCAAGAATGCCTAAGCAGTTCCTGTTGATCCCCCCACAATGCCCCTTTCTTATGTTAATTGAGAGCTGATTTGATGAGATAACGACCTGCGAGTGACCTTGCAGGGAGGTCTAATCCCTCCATGCCTAACTAGTGCCGAGAGGCTTTAAAGCATGATGAAGTAACTTTCTACCAGGCACCCATTAACATCACCTGGGTGGAGAATGGCAGATGTAAATTAATGTATTGCCAAAAAGAATTAGTGCCGCAGCGTCACTAGAACTGCAAACCCTGTGATCCGACATATCAACTACCGGTAGATAAGAAGAGAACGATAAGAGGCGTCGTAGTTCAGCGGTGTAAGCACCTGAATGGAGATGCACAGGTCAAAGGTTATCTACATTGATTCTCCCCACCCAGGTGTTACATGAGTACCCAATATAGGATGCGAAGGTCAATGCCGTGGGTTAGAACAGGTGCGCTCCTATAAGGTCAAAGGTTATCTATATTGCTTCTCCCCACCCAGGTGTTACATGGGTACCCAATAGGATGCGAAGTTCAATGTCGTGGGTTAGAACAGGTGCGCTCCTATAAGGTCAAAGGTTATCTATATTGCTTCTCCCCAACCAGGTGTTACATGGATACCCAATAGGATGCGAAGGTCGATGTGGTTGGATTAGAACAGGCGCGCTCCTAAAATCACACCTGTCAGGAGAAAACTCCCTAGGGAGTGGAGGTTGTGCAATATGAGTAGGTATTTCTTTATCATAATTTATAATCCTTATTTGCATGATATGGCTATTTTATCATGATACTGGAAATTTTGTAAAGGACGTTGGCTTTATTACCAGCTGTGGAGGAGGCGTGGTCTAGTAGATACGTCACCGGACTGTGGATCCCATAGTTCTTACTTCGAGTCCAACCGTGGCGCTAATATCCCCTGGCAAGATATTTATATACATTTGCTTCACTCCACCCAGGTTAGGAAAATGGGTACCTGGCAAGCATTAATTCTTTAAAATACTAGAGCGCCATAATGGCAGCCATGCTAAAGCAGGGGTAATAGATGAAGAGTGCCAGAAGTGTCAAATTTGACAGACATAAGCGCTTTACAAGAACCCACTATTATAATTATCGAATTTTTCAGAAATAATCGACAGTCGGCGTTAAGACACTTGCCGCTGTGACACTTTCTCCATGTCAATTTCCTACACTCACCAAACTCTAAACCTGTGCCGATCGCTAGACATAATACTAACCCTAAGCTAAACCCTACACCTATCCATATCAAGCCTGAAGCAATTGTAGCAGAAGAAATGTTGCATCGGAAAGTGTTGCTTCACCATATAGCGGGGCTGTGTCTATACTTACACCAACTGGGTCACAAAAGTTTGTTGGTACAGGTACTTTGCCGCACTGGTGACATTATATACCTCATCCATCTACAGGAAAGAAAGATATAACAAAGAATGTTTGGACTTAAATGTTTGATGTAAAAAAAAAAAATAGACCAGTTCATAGATAGCACATGCTACAAAGGCCCCCATATTATCTTTTAAACATGGAAAAGACACACTTTATGCATTTTGGAATATCCACTGCCAGCTTGCATGAATTGCTTCACGAAAACATTATGTTTGCCCTCTTGAAAAGAATACATGTACTTCCACCTGTGTATCATATAATGCACTGCCAGTGCATAAATGAATAGTGATTATATAACTTTTATTAACATGTATTCAGTATTTTTCTTCATGGGTTTACAGTTTCATACAAATTACTTCTGTCTGCCCATGAGACGATGAGCACATGTTATGTAATATCTACAATACCGGAAATAATTTTAGATACTCTTTTGAAAATTAAACAGTTCCAAATAAGTTCACTTTTTTAAAGAAAAATGGGGGGGGGGTGGACAAACTACAAAGGTCAAGAAGAGTTCTGGTCATGAAAAACAAATTTGAAAGCAACTTGATAAATAATTTATTTATTAGCGTGATATTACTAATAAAACAATGTGCAAAGTATTATAAAATTATGGTTGGGTTAAAGTGGATTTTGAGAGGATGAATCTTAGTCTGAATCTTGCTGTTGCTTTTGCTTGCTTTTAATCCAGACAACTTAAGCCATAACTCCCTATCTCCACTAGGACATGCAAATCCCCGATGATGTTACTTCATATTCAATGTCTCAAAGATGTACTACATAATAACTAGAGTCGTAGAAAATGACCCTCTATTGTGTTCATTTTCAAGAAAATTTTCCACATCAAAAACACGTACAGTTGCGAGCAACTAGTACTGAAATATAGTACAAGGACCTGAAAATCAAATACCCTACTGCTGTGCCACTGGAAACATCCTGAATTTGTACAGTAGGGGGGGGGGCTCCTAATCCAAGAAATTATACAATTACGGTACAAAGTTTTGTTTCTTGTGTCTTGTGCACTTAAATATTTTCAGGGTACATGCTAATGAGTTTTGAAGGGGGTATGGGGTAGGATGGGGTGGGCAGGTCGGATGTGCCACGCCACCCCTCCCCTTATCTGCTACTAATTGTTCCCCTAGGTGGAGACATGCTATTTGAGCTTACCGCTCCTGTGAAATTTCGGAAGAAGGCAGTTGTTGCCGGGGCTCGGCCATCGTTCAAGTAAGTGCCATAGGCTTTGTCCATGACGAACGTCCCTTCAAAATTTCCTATGACTGCGGGCCCAAATGTTGTCGTCGTCATCGTTGGGGGCTGGGTTGTGGTCTGAAATTGGAACAGAAAATGAGTAAAATCCTTAGGTCAAAACGGGTGTCCTAAATGACCCTTTCACCTGTCAACTTTCTCGTGCTACTGGTCATTTTTACAACCCCCTTTGTTCTAAAAGACCTTCACATCCTATTAGAATTGTATATTTCATCCTAGTCAGGTAAGTGGTCGATTTAATGTAAACGTTCTCCAAAAAAGCGATCTCCCCCCTACTTGGTGCGAGCCAAAGATGGCATGATCCCCTAAATGTGTATGCCTCGGTTGTATAAATTTATGGATCATGTTATCTTTGGCTTAGTCTACTTAAAAGCCTTTAGAGATTTTGGTATTTCAACTGGAGATATCCTTAACAGAAGTAGTATTTAGAGTCAGTTTTGTTAACATAGTAAAGTGGTATTGAACCCACAAAGTACAAAGCAAAATATTTTCTGGCAATAAATCCACTTTAAAGGTAGGGTATACCTTTTGCAGCCAGCATCAAATTCTATGGAACTTTGCAGGAATTATGAATATGTCACGTATGTTCTATCTCTGAAATTTAATGGTTAGTAGTGTCCTATAGTCTTCAAATTATGCAAGGAAAAAAATTATATAAACGATTAAGGATTAAGAAAGAACATTGTCTTAAGTGGGGCTTGCCGCTTATTATATAATAAAGTATTTTACCCTTCTCTAACACTTAAAGAGACGGTTGAGTTCTGGGAAGAGGTGAACAATAATTTGTGAGCTATTTTGTGAGTTATTATGAAAGTGCGGAAGAACTTCAGATAAAAAATGTTCCCTGAAAAGCATGGCTCTTCAAATGCTTTCATATTCTAAATGTGGCATGTAACAACATACAAATCGAGACGTGTTCGTGTAGCCCCATATACATCTTTCCGTCTACAGTGCATGTAATTTTACCTAGACTGGGCCTAGAACCTTGCAGTACACACCAATACTTGCTAGATGATCAACCTTTTCTGGTCGATTCCACACCGTTTCTTTCATGATGCAATTGTATGACCCGAACTCAACTGTATCTTTAACATCTTACACTTAACAGCTGATTGCACACACACACACACACACATATATGTACAAATATTAACATGCTTTTCTCATAAAACGTAATTGTCTGCATCTCTATTTAAATATATTTAAAGTGGGGCTTGATTTTACATGAGGAGTAATACGTTCCATGAAATCTGCCCTTTAAAGAAATGTTTTTAGAGACAGAAATGTTAATAAATGGTATAAGGATTGTCTAGTTCCATATGAATGAACACTGTTGCGTTTTTTTGGGGGGACCAAAAAAAAAAAAAAAAAAGTGTTCTCTTACCCTACCCCCCCCCCCCCCGCTTATTCAGCGGCTGACTGAGTCGTTTTTTCGGCCCGATTTAAAAATGTTAAACCCCCCCCCCCTGCGTACGCGCCTGTATGCTACTATGGTTATAAACTAGGGGACCTATGCCCTTTAGTCATAAATGACAGTAATGAGGATTAATGCCCCACAAAAGAGCACTCATATAGCAAATCGACACGGTTTTGATCCTGGGGCCTCACAGTTACGAGATCATTGCTTTGCCACTGAACCATGACTGTACGCAGCGGGGGCTAGGGTAGGGGGCAGTTCCCACAAATAATTTTTTTTTAAAAATGCAAACAATTATCAATAATTCACTGAATTTCCCCCCGGTCCCCAACAGAAAAAAATCTTCTGTGTGCCCATGCCTTGAGCCATAATGCATGGCCGTACAGAGGATTTTTCTATGTTGGATAATAATTGAATTTTCTTTGAATATACCATTAAAAAATGTTCTGAAGCTCATATCTAAATCGTGTCGCTAAGCTATCTTAATCGTTATCAGACAAAAATTAATTTGAATCATCCGCATATCAAATACATTGAAATATTTGTGAAGCATGAGTAATACCATACATGTATTCAAGAAATAATAACGATCCCACTGTCGAGCCTTAAGGTACACCACATCCTATGGTTTTAAAATAAGATTTAATGTTATTAAAAAGAACATATTGTTTTCGATTCGTTAAATAGCTTTCAAACCATTTTAACACAACACCTCGTATTCCATTATATTGTTCGATTTATCTAAGAGAATTTTGTGACCAACGTATCAAATGCCTTACTAAGTTCGAGAAATATTCCTAACATAATTTGTTTATTATCTAAGGCATTTTGAATTTAAAAGCAAAACCAATTAGTGCATAGGATGTATAGTGACAAGCTCTAAAACCATATTTACTATCCGATAATAAATTACATTGGTTCAAAATATATAGCAGTCTATTATTAAAAACATCTTTCTAAGATTTTGGAGGAAACAAATTTAACTCACATTTGGATCTTCATTTCCTTTATTTCCTTATTTCATTAATATCACGTTACATAATTGTCTGATTTATTACGTTTTATCTGATAGCTTGATGTACAAAATACAGGAAATTTAACACTAATATCCGCAAGTATCATTCCTGATAAAACATCATCAATGTTATCTGTAAAAATATTATCAATCAGTGATATTGAATGATCAGTGAAGCGAGTTGTGTAATAAATTACTGGATACCTCGATTGTGTCATAAATAAATCTATACAAATCATTTGTTTTGGAGCGAGAGTCGACATTCAATAAAATACTATTATAATCTTCAATAAGATATACATAGTTGTTTCTTGTATTTACAATTTTAGAACTGAATTTATTGATTTAAAAAAATATATATTTTCAAATTCACCCGTAGGTCTATAAATAGCACCAATAATAATATTTGTATTTGAATTTTGAATCTCAATAAAAATAGAATCCATACAATTCACACTTATATCTAAATCTACTCAACAATGATCACGGTCTGTAAACAAATAAGATAAAAGAAGATACCCTTAATTAAGATCAAACTATAACATTATCCTCTAGATATTACAATTGTATGGGATACATGATCATGTGAACTTTTTTGTTTGTTCTGAAACACTTACCATTTCCTGGTCAACACTTGAAGCTGTCCAATAATATCAAGAGAAAGGGAGGGGGGAAAAGAGGAAATTGAGAGAGTTAAATTCACATAATACATAATAGGACCACAATTTTCCCTTTTCATGAATGAAATTGAAAATGAAAACGTTCAATTATATTTTTTTTATATTTGTAATGTAATGAAATATAATGCTTAAATCTTCGTTAAAGCCCCTTTTAAGTGTTGGGAGCCACAAATTTGCCAAAGATTTGATGGTGCTGGAAGAAAAAAAAATGATGAAAGTAAACAAAAATTAGGTTTTCTGTTCTACGCAGATAATCTAAAGTATGTATTCTTTCATCAATATTCGACTTCAAACACATTTTTTGAGAATCCTTGCAGAAATGTGTACCTTTAATTACATCCTCTCTCACATTATGATACAATTAAAGTGAAATTTTGCCATTAAATATGTGGGGCTTCAACAATTTAGAGGGACATTAAGTGCCATGTTACAAATTATATCATTCACCTGTAGGCTGTTACAAATAATTGTATTTCTATAGTCAGAATGCGAATTGCATACATTCCATAGTGTTAAAGGTAGGATAGGCCATAATGTATGTTTCATTTATGCATAACATTCGATTACTTTACAAAAATGGTCTATTGAAGAGACAGTGTCATAGCAGCATCAGCTTATGGGGGCATTACATGGTCTCAATGAAGTGAGAGAGAGAGAGAGAGAGAGAGAGAGAGAGAGAGAAAGAGAGAGAGAGAGAGAGAGGGGGGACGACTATAAGACTGGGGGTGCATAAAAGGGGCTTCATGTAATATGTTCTCCCTCTTGCCATTTCTTACCCTCTCCCTTTTCATTTTTGCCTCTCAATCAGAAAGCAATGCGGGGAGCCTATGCCTACCAACCCCCCCCCCCCCCCCCCCCATGGCATCCTCTACTACGCCACTGCCAGGGGAAAGGGAAGTAAATGTACCTTCATATGATATTATAATAATCTTTAAAGTTTGTTCTATGTTGCTCAGGTAAACACTGTTTTGTAAGTGTTTCAAAAGCCTCTTCTGATAGAAAACGAAATTAAGATCTTAATCGTTTAGTACGTGCAGGTATGCGAATTGGTGAATAGGTCAATTAATTCACTATAATGCCCAAATGCATATAAGTTTTATCACCAGTATCATGTATGTATGTTTAATTGGGTTCTGAAATCCTAAAATTCTTCAGTGATAGGTTACCTCAACTCTTATGATGTTAAATGTTTCCAGGATACATTTGCAAATGTGTAAGAGGATCTATACATTGAAGTAAATATCAACATGTGCATAATGTAGTAAATGACGCAAATATAATATAAGCATGGAATTCATCCAAAACATGTACAACAAAAGAGCAAATATTTGTATGTCATTGGTCCCCTTTTAATAGATTTATAAGACATGATTGGCATGGTAATGAATTGGGTAAAAGCCACCTTCGGTTAAATACTGCCACAATATTTGAGCTGTGATATATATTCTTCAAACAAATTACTGCTTAGAGAGCTACATCAATGTGAAGCTAGTAGTTTTTAAAAAAGGTATCTTTGTCATTATTCCCTACACTAAATCAATTTCATCCGATTTGTTCAAACTTTCAAATTTTCAAACTTCATGCAAAAACATAATACAATGACTAAGTATATCAAATAAAAAATATACATTGAAACAAGGTAAATATAACAGTAATGGTGCGATACAAGTCTTGAAAAACAAAGTATACACAGAAAGCCAAAAAATTACCAAATATGTAGGCCTAACAATAAAGAAATTATGAATTTCGGGAAAACATTGAAGAAAAAAAAGGGAAATGGGGGAAAAAAAGTAGGAGGCAAAAAAAAAAAAAAATAGGAAAGGAAAGTAAACGATTGCATAAGCTCTAGAAAAAGGAGGTTAGATCAGCAGAATGAGGTAGAAAGGGATCGAGTCGAGAGTCAAACAAACCGAGATTCATGCATATACCGAATTAATTCTGTGTAGAAGACATATTTGAATTTCATGGTTTGACTACAGCATAGCAATATGGAGCCCTTAAATCAAGAGAAACACATGTGTTGATGAATGGTACACTTTAAGTAAAGTGTGAAACTTTCCAATCATCAAATGTAGAACATTATATCAAAGGAACATCCTACATCAAGTGAACAGACTTTCATCAATTAAACTTACCTAAAGTTGGGGTACACTGAACAACTTGGTCACTCTTATTATTCTGCGTACATATCACAGCTGTGATGACAGCCGTGATGATGATTATGATGATAATAGCTATGGCCGTAACGAATGCCCCTCGATTATTCCCTTTCCCGTCCATTTCGGTATCGGCTATACTTTTACTGGATCCGAGTCTGAGCTACTTGTATATGCCCTGAAATGAAGGAGAAAAAATGGATAAAAGATGATGCCAAAGCTTGTCATTGTTGTTCGTGATTTCCTATATAATTATCATGAGGATTTAGAATCGACCGATTTTTGCCACAACTTGTATTACCTCTTTCTTTTAAATACCTTTCTCAATTTTCTACTTCTCCTTGATATCTTTTGAAAAATATAAATACAGTTTACACTAAATTATTTATTCGACATATACCCCTTGTAAATTTGATATTTTTTGTGTTTTTCCTAACACGAGAAATAAAGCTGGAATAGTTGAATTCGGGCCTTTGTTGAACTAAAGTACTTCTAAATTTAAACTTCAATATGTCACCTTTAAAAGAACCATAAATCAGGACAAATCAATTTATCACATACTTTAAAAATCACAAAACTTGGTAAGAGTATGAATAATTGGACAGAGATAGCCTGTTTTCTATGAAGGAAGTATAAAATAAACCCGAGAGGCCATAGCATGACAATTTTCCCCTCAGTTTGTCTTTATCTAGACTTAAAACAGTTTGATTTTTTTAAAACATGATTAGAAAGAATTTAGATCTAATTTTCATATAATTTCAAAATAACATCGAAAATCATTGCAAAACATCAAAATATAGCGACTTACTTTCAGCCAGTCTGCCCGTTTACTTAATGGTTGAAAACACTGCGCGCGCTGAGATCGGCAATCACACACAAACTGTTTTGCAAAACCCTCCCACACTAAACCGTCCGATTTACATCAGTAAGAAGCGGTGCTCCGGGGGGGGGGACAGGGGGCACAGCCCCCCCCCCCCCCCAAAAAAAAAAAAAAAATTCAATTCCCCCAAAAGTGCCCTTTTTACTTAGGACAGTGCCCTTATAAATTCGTAAGAAGTGCCCCTTTTGACATAGGAAAAAGGCCTATTTCACTTTGAAAATCCCTCTATTATTTTTCACCTTTTTTAAAGTGCCCCTTTTATGTTTACATATTTCTCTCTTTCCTTCGACAATTTCCCATTTTCCTTTGCAATAATTGTCCATTTTTCATTCTCATGAGTGCCCTTCTTAATATCTAGTAAGTGCCCCTTTGTAAGTACGAGAAGTGCCCCTTAACACTTTTCATAGGTGCCCCCTTCACCTCTGATGATTACCCTATTCAAATTTGAGAAGCGCTCCTTCCCCTTTAAATACACCCTCTTTTTTACTCCGATAAGCGCACCTTTTATTTTCACATGTGCCCCTTTCCTGATGATAAGTGCCCCCCATTAAAAAAGAGCACCTCCCCCTTCTCAAAAATTTTCACCTATGAAAAGTGTCAGTAGTACTCGTAGTCTGTTTGAGGGGTACGTGTAAAGTCTAGGGGGGTCCTTAAGTATAGGGTCAATGAGATCGGATGTTCAGAATACAGGATTTTCTTGAATTCTCCATCGAATTCATACCTCGAAGCTTTCTCCAGCGAATCCGGCCTGGAGATCGATACCCTACTAAAACATGCCCAAAATGACTAAATCTTCATCAATTGTCCAAATAATGGTCATGAATAAAATTCGTAATGTATCTTACCTGTTTCGTGTCAATTTACTTTAATCTGTTTTGGAGTATTTTTCCTAAAAACGAAGGCATTATAATATACACAGACTTTCTCACATGTTTCAAGGAGCATGAGCAGATAAAGGTCATTGCAGACCAAATTGTGAAATTGTGACAGAATATATGTATCGAAAGATAGTCAGAAATTATAATAACGAGTAGAGTGACTAAAGACAAATCCATTTTAATTAAGCCTTTGGCAAATTCTGCAGCCAAAAATATTGTCCAGGAAGGTTTATGTGGTTACAGGAATTTAAACACTTAAGGCCCGGTCACACAGCCTTTCGCGTCTGTATCGCGGGTAAAATTTCGCGATTTTTTTTTGCCCGCGGTTGCCCGTGGTGGAAAATGTGCAAAATTGGCTTACCCGCGGTTTACCCGTGGTATGCCCGCGGAACAGACGCCGGCGACTGTTCCGCGTCCTTATCGCGGGTGAAGCGCGGCGGTACCGCGGCCTACCACGCTTACACGCGGTACACACGCTAATATCACGTGATAACAACGCGGTACAGACGCGGAACAAACGTGCTATGACCGTGCTCCACCCGCGATTACCCGCTAAAATTTCGCATCCAATTCCGCGTGTAACCACGTCTTAACCGCGGCCGTAGCACGTTCGTTCCGCGTCTGTACCGCGTCTTTACCGCGTGTGTACCACGTGTACCACGTGTACCGCCCGCGATTACCCGCGGTCTAAATTTTTGGGCAGCCCAAAACTTTTTCGCGCGGCCAACCGCGTGTGAATTTCTTACCGCGTGTAACGACGGGTAAAGTACGGCTGTATCGCGTCTTTATCGCGACCTCAAAGCGTCCAACAACGTCTGCTTCACGGGCAGAAATTTTTGGCCGTGATTCGGCCGCGATACGCCCGTGGAGGGCTGTGTGATATCGACTGCTTTGAGCAGCCAGACTTCGAATATTAAAGCAGTCGATATATATGTCTATTATATGCCGAATTGAAACAAAAATCTATCAAGAATGCTTACCTTATCATTTTATTAAGTAAAGATTGGTTAAAACATCACGGAAAATCTGAGACACTGTCTGTAATCTTTGCTGGAGAAAATGACCAACAATTTCAATCATTTGTGAATCGCAGACAAAGAGCACTGTATGGTGTCCGCGCTCGCACAAAGAACATTTTAATACGTAAACCAATGGGTATCGCAGCAAAATTTTACTATTTTCATGGTAACCGAAATTTGGAGGGATCTCACTCTTGGACTATTAACCGGTATTGGCATTTTTCGTTTCTTTACGGGAACGTCTAAAATCACGACTCCAATTTCGACCAATCAGATGGCTGGATTTCTTAAGTGAGGTAAATTTGAATACAATTCTTCACTTGTTTGAGAGCTTGAATTTCCTTGATAATGCCCGTACGGCTAATGACAATAGGAGGATGTAAAATGAAATACCAGGTTGGAAATGTTTGAAAATTAAATCACTTGCAAGACATTAAACACTAAGATCCAACCTCGGACACAGATCATATTGTTAAACAACCGTTTATATTTATATGCTCAATCAAATACATATACATTCCAGATAATAAACCACATACAGTAAATTTGAAGCGAGTTTTCAACAAGGCTTACCTAAACTACTACAGAATTACACTTTTTCATAATACAGCATGTTCCATGGCGGAAATGAGCTCTTTTCAAACCGTTAAGAAATTGTTTTTTTAAAGATGGAAAGTAATGTCCGCATGTTATTTTCTCACAATCACTTTAACTTACAGTCTACAGATGAATATAACACAGTACTACATGCATATAAAAGACCTTATAATACACACCATAATTACCATATATATGTCAATATAGACAATAAAGAGCAAGAGCTTTGGAAGTTTGAACAAAATGGTAACAAAAATTAATCTTTACTTGTTCAATTCCAAATCACCAAACAAACATAATGCTCCAAGATCTTTAGCAACATCCAAAGGCAATATCGTTTTTTATATATATATATTTTTGTTTGTCACTGCAGCAAAAGTGACCCTCGTAGCTTTCCAATCGACCAGTCCTAGCAAGTAAATGATGACCGAGTATCTTAGCAATGTTACAGATGAATAAACAAAGAGTACTTCAAAAATCAGCAAAGCAAACAAAGTACAGACATGTATTACCTCGATATGACTAGGTATTAATTTGGGATGTATACATTTTTATTTAAAGGGTTGAATTATGAACTATTTCTTCAGAAACTATCAAACTTCTGGGTCTTTAAGACAAAGCCAGGCAAGATAAGAACATCATTAATTTGTCCCATTACAGGGATAATGACCGTAAAAATGGACATGGGATCCGATGTTGATCTTTATACAAACATTTCATTTTGTACTTTCAAGCACTGTTGCCCAACTCAATTCTTACAATCACACACACATTTTTTTTTCTCAACTGAAAAATTATCATGTTTATATTTACAATTTTTAAAAATGGGGGGAGGGGGCTTTGTCTGTCAGTTACAAAACAGAGCGGATCGGAATGCATTAGAATATGCAGATAAAATGAATGGTTGTGGTGCACCAGTCACTGCTGATGTGGAGGGGGGGAGCTTCATAGGTGGCAACAAATGGCCCCATTTCTAATTTTTTTAGAAAGGGGGGACCTTTTGGCAGTTTCAAAACATACTTACTTTAAGAAATTTGAAATCCTTCCGCACTATTAACAAACCCATAAGCCTTTGCTAAATGCGACACTCGTCCTAAGTCTTTAGATTTTCAATATTATAACCTTAAACGACCATTTGACATTAATGTCATTCAGAAACAGTGCTGAATTCACCACAAATTAGATGAAAAACAAAGAAACTTATGAAAGTTATTATTTCTAACCACATGTCGTTAATTATGGAGTGATCAATAACATAAATGGTAATGATTTAGATGGGGAAAAACAAATATTTCTTAAGATGTATAGATTTAAACCTTTATTTCACCAGCATTACATAAGGACACCATCCAATGTAAAAGCTACTGTTTGCTATGAATCCTAACAAAGAAATGAAAATAAAAATTGCAGATAAAAAAGAGCATCAAAATCGACAGAAACTTCTTCCTAATGGCTCTCCACTTATAAACACTTTTTGCTTGGCATACGTGCATCACACATTCTTGCTTTTTTGTTTAAGTATGTTGGTGATTATATAAGGCCACTAAACATAATAAGAGGCAATATGCATGTTAAATATCACATCATGCTTACATCTTTATACTACTAGCAGGGAGATGCAAATTTCTCCCTGATATTGCAATGGAAAGACAGAAACACACAAGTACAGACACCACATATTACTAGAATGTTATATATACGACAGACAAGAAATATTCATCATCACATTATATAGCTAAAAAACTGCTAAATACACCAAAACGTTGTGTATAAACACGTGATCAAAACATTTTGTACATTGCCCAAGAGTAGAGTGCAAAATATCAATGAGTATCAATGAGTATACAAAAGTAGATACAATTCGCCAAAATAAAAGGTTGTGACACTACGCATGTGCTAAAATGGGCATGAACACATAAGAAATCGCACTCTAGTCTTCAAAAAATGTCTTCAGCTGTCCAGGAATGCTAAAATATGTTGACTTTGTAATTTATATTTCTGATGTCCGACTATTTATCAAATACATGGGTTATGTATAGTGTCATGTCTGGGAATTTGATTATTTTAGGGAATTATAAACCAAGGAGCAGTTGTCGCAACAGGTCCATGGTCATACGATTGACATGACCCCCCTAATCACCAAGCAATTCACAATTAGCTTCCATATTAAAAATTGTCAGTTTAGATAACAGATTCTCTTTTTCCCCATTTTCTTGATATTGCTCGAGTAATGTATATGTAAGAAATATACATTTACAGTATCAACAAAAAATAACACAGAATGTTGTCATATCTGGACCAAAGAGGGCAGTAAATTCACACATGCACGCACACACGTACACACACCAGCACATAATCAAAAGTAAAAGTTACGAATTTATAAAAGAAGGATTACGCAAAAAAATAGAATTGCACTAAACTAATATATAGTAACGATCATACATATATACATAAATTATAACATTTCGACTAGCTATGAAACTTTTACACATGGTACGTACGTTCTATGTGTCACTAAATACATGTAGATTTGTTTTATTGTAAAGCTGAACTACACTGCAAATATATCATTTTACATCTTTCAAGAGTAATAGATATCACATGTCAGAAAATGGCTCATTGACAAATAAATTATTAAAAACTATAGCTGAATAAAACAGTGAAACGTGTCACATTTAACTTTAGAAATCCACAAAAAGACACAGAGCCACAAAAGTTTTTCAGATTTCTCCTAAGACTAATTTTGTAAAATAAACTTAGAGTGTACCAGATTAGGATTACGATTTGTGGATAACAATAATTTACAAAATCAACATCCAAAAGCTTTACCCAGTATTCAATGGGCTAACAGATAAGGAGTAAGAAAATAAGGAATAACATAAACTGCTGTGCACTGAATCAAAGTCAGAACTTGATATTCCTATAATTATCAAACGAGATTGCAAAGACAATTGCAAGAAATCAACCTAAGGCAATCTCATTAACCTAGTCAGCTGTCCGAACATATTTACAATGATGTATTATGTAATCACAATATGATTTCTATAGCATACCTATACGTTAGAGATGAAATTGCCCTTGTGTTTATATGTGCAACAGTCTATGTGGTCATATTTTCCCCCCTTATTTTCTGTGTTTCAACCAACACGAATATCGTTACACATGTACTGCCAGTTAATCAGTGTGACATGTTAAAGGATCTTTTGTCTAAAGAGGGCGACATCAAATACAATGTACCCAATTTCGGGAATATCCGCAGCAAAAGCTTGCATCATTTGCCCAATTGGATCGCTCTGATGTTCCGTAAATCAGATTTTTCAAATGCATTATTGAGATTACTAACATCTGGCATGAACAGTTGAAATGAAATGCAATTCCATGAATCAAATACAAGATGATATTGTTTGTTTGGAGCCATTAGGCACGGCTCCACAGGAAACAATTTTTTGGGGAAGGGGGGGGGGGGGGTCCAGATTGCATGAGCCTTATGTAAGATTTCAAATATCAGGGCAGGAGGGGGGGGGGGTGGCATAAAACCTAGAAGTTGGGTGCCAATGCATTCTGGGCTGCGTTTAGTGTTGACATCCTGCAGAAGTGCATTACATCTGTGTCTTCATATTATTTAGCTCAATCAGGGTGACCAGAAAAAAAAGAAAAAAAATTCTGCATATTTTCAATTTTGGCATTCAATTTAAGCTTGCGGTAGAGATTTTGAGATTCATCGTGTTAAGAGAACATAGAAAGGGCGGGACATCTGTGTTAAAGTGTAAGTGTTGACACCCTGCAAAGAACATTACATGTGTATTAAAGTTTAAGAGTTTAAGAATTTTAACCTAGTCCCATAGCCCTTGTTTTGCGTTTTATCAGAATTACTGCTTCTGCAAGAGATGGCGGAGACCCACCGATGACTAACATGATGATAGGAACTCCCCCTAAGCACCGCTTGAGGGGTCTATCTCAGGTCCGATGTCTGCGTAGAGCACGGGGTACGTATTCAATGCATTTGACGGGAAGGATCCTAGCGTGCTGACCAGGTAATCTCTGCCCCCTCGGTTTATGGCGTTTAGCGCCACGGTGAACCTCACCTGCACGTAGGTTCCATTTTGCCTGCATGAAGGATTATTAAAAACAATAATAACTACATTTATACTGTGCACATATCCATCTATATCCATCATAGTAGTAGTAGTACAGTCAAACCTGTCTATAGCGACCACCCAAGGGAAACACAAAAGTGGTCTTTGTAGACAGGTGGTCTTTGTAGACAGGTTCCTTTAGTACATGATTCAATGAGAAACCATTTTCAAGGGAAGCAACAAATGTGGCCTTTGTAGACAGGTGGTCACTAAAGCAGGTTTGACTGTAGTACATGCATTACCCTGGCTTTTGCCCAGCTGCCGTAAGGTGCTGAAAGCATCCAAGAATTAGTAACTATCTACCAGGCACCCTGGGGCGTACGCAGGGGGGGGGGGGGGGGGTTTGGGGAGTTCAACCCCCCCCCCCTTTGGTATTTTTATGTATGTAAACCCCCCTAAAAAAACCTAAAAACCCCCCCTTTGTTTTTTTGTTGTTTTTTTTTTTTTTTTTTTTTTTTTTTTTATTATTTAAAAAAAAAAAAAAATAAATAAAATAAAATTATACCCACGGCTAACCTAAATAAGGTGACCTTACCCCCCCCCCCCCAACGACAAAAAATGTCAAATTATGAAATTTCGAGACCAAAAAAAAAAAAAAAAATGTGTCCGCTTACCCCCCCCCCCCCCCCCCCCCCCCCCCCCCCCCCCCCCCCCCCCCCCCCCCCCCCCCCCCCCCCCCCCCCCCCCCCCCCCTGTGGCTACGTGCCTGATCAGAAGTGTCAAATTTGACAGACATCAGTGCTATACAAGAACACACTACAGTCAAACCTGTCTATAGCGACTGCCCAAGGGAAACACAAAAAGTGGTCTTTGTAAACAGGTTCCTTTGCATGTTTCAATGAAAAACCATTTTCAAGGGAAACAAAATATGCGCTTGTTGTAGACAGGTGGTCTTTGTAGACAGGTGGTCACTAAAGGAGGTTTGACTGTATTATTATTATTATTAAATTTTTCAGAATTAATCAACAGCCGGCAGTACAACACTTGCTCCTGTGACACTTTCTCCATGTCAATTTCATACACTAACAAAATTCTAAATTTAAAGCCTCTGCACTAGACATAGTCCTAACCCTATCCTAACCCTAAGCTACTGTAAACCCTATACCTATCCATAAAAAGCCTGAAGCAATTGTAGCAGGAGAAAATGTTGCATCGGAAAGTGTCGCATCACCATATAGCAGCGCTGTATCTATACTTACACCAACTGGGTCACAAGAGTTTCTTCGTACAAGTACTTTTTCGCAATGGTGGCATTATATACCTCATTCATCTACAGGAAAGAAAAAAAAAAACAAAGAATGTTTGGATTTAAATTTTGATGTAACACAAATAGACCAATTCATAGATAGCACATGCTACAAGTGACACTAAATATCTTTTAAACATGGAGTAGATCGACCAACTTTATGCGTTTTGGAATATCCACTGCCAGATTGATGGAGGTGTTCATGAAAATCTTATGTCTGCCCTCTTGAAAAAAATACATGTGCTTCCAACTGTGTATCATAGAATGTACTGGCAGTGCATGATGAATAGTGATTACATAACTTTTATTAACAATATGACTTGTATCCAGTATTTTTCGTGATGGGTTTATACTTTATAGTTTCACATAAATTACTTTTATCTGCCCATGAGGCCATGAGCATATATAATGTAATATCTACAATACCGGAAACAATTTTAGATACTCTTGTAAAAATAAAACACTTCTAAACTAGTTCGTTTTTTAAAAGAATAAAAATGGGGGGGGGGGGGGAGTACAAGGGTCAAGATAAGTTCTGGTCATGAAAAACACATTTAAAAGCATTTTGATGACTAATTTCTTTATTTGCTTGATATTGATGATAAAAAAAATGTGCAAAGTATCCCCAAATTATGGTTGGGTTAGAGTGGAGTTTGAGAATATAAATCTTAGTCTGAATCTTTCTGTTGCTTGTGCTTGCTTTTAATCCAGACAACTACCGGTAAAGCCATAATTCCCTACCTATACTAGGCCATGCAAATCCCTGATGGTGTTACTTCATATGCAAAGGTGTACTACATAATCATTAGAAGAGTCGAAAATGATCCTCTATTGCGTACACTTTCAAGAAAATTCTCCACAGATTTAACATGTCAAACAATCCCTTTAAATATTTTCAGGGTACATGCTAATGAGTTTTGAAGGAGGAAGGAGGAATGGGGTGGGGTGGGGTGGGCAGGTCGGATGTGCCACCCCTCCCCTAATCTGCTACTTATTGTTGCCTTAGGTGGAGACATGGTGTGAATGCTATTTGAGCTTACCGCTCCTGTGAAATTTACCAGGAAGGCAGTTGTTGCTGGGGCTCGGCCATCGTCAAAGTAAGTGCCATAGGCTTTGTCCATGACGAAGGTCCCATCGAAATTTCCTATAACTGCGGGCCCAAATGTTGTCGTGGCCTTCATCGTTGGAGGCTGGGTTGTCTTCTGAAATTGCAACAGAAAATGAGTTAAAATCAATAGGATAAAACAGGGCCCCGTCTTACAAAGAGTTGATATCAATTGCAACCTATTTGCGATTGATTTCAATCGCAATTATTTACATAAGAGATAGGAGACTACAAACTTACGATTGATTGGAGGACTTGCGATTGATTTGGGTCAATCGTAAGTCTTTGTAAGACGGGGCCCAGATGTCCTAAATGACCCTTTTACCTAGCTGTCGAGTTTCTCATGCTACTGGTCATTTTTTTTTCATATGGTAAATCCCTTTTTTGTTCTAAAGGACATTCACATCCTATCAGCTTTGGATATTGTGTCCCAGTCAGGTATCTGGCCGAATTAATTTCAACGATCTCTGCAAACGCAATCTTCCCCCAACTTGGTGCAAACCAGAGATGGCATCATCCCCTAAATTTGTATGCCTTGCATAGGCGTACAAATTTATGGATCACGTCATCTTAGGCTTAGTCTACTCAAAAATCTTTAGAGATTTTGGAGATTTTGGTATTTAAACTTGAGATATCCTTTACAGAAGTAATATTTAGAGTGAATAATTTGAACATACATGTAGTAAACTGGTATTGAACCATTAAAAAAAGGGCAAATTATATTTTCTGGGAATATGTCCCCTTTAAGCCACATCCTGAAAGTTAGACATGGTTTGAAAGCTCACTACTGCTTTCGGTTCAGAGTGGGGTTTCCCCATTCTCAATTTGAATATGTTACACAGAGTGTTTAAGTAGAATATTTATTTCTTCTGTCTGTCATAGAGTCTTGTAGGGTATTCTTACCAGGATTCTTAGAATATACTCTTTTAGTTCTGAACACATAACTCCTATTCTTAGATCTCTTCATTTGCTACATATTTCAACTCTAATTCAGATTAAGATTCTTATGTAGTATTCAAAATTAAACACGGGTATGCTCAATCATATTTAATCGACATTCCCAAACCTACTGTTCCATGACGTTCATTACAGTCAATATATTAACACATGCTAATTTTCAATACGCCCGTTGTCCCCAAACCAATACACTTTACGGTGATCGTGCTCTTGCTGTTGCAGCCCCTGAATCATGCCATACTTTACCAATTCATATTTGTCAATCCCCATCCGTAGAGTCTGTTAAGGAAAGTTAGAAGTATTTCTTGTTTAATAGTAATTTATAGGGCAGCTTTGTTTAAGGTTAGTTGCTTATTAATTGTAATTGTTATTATTAGAATTGTGTATTAGTAGTATTGCTGTATGTTTACTTTACCTTGTACCTTGTTTTGTTTAGCTCTTAGAAACATTGTATTAAGCGCTTTATATAACTACTACATAAGTCTGTGAAGATTGATGTGCACCCCCTCTTTCTTTCTTTTTTTTCCTTCTTTCTTCTGTCTTTTTCCCCTTTACCAATATTTTGTTCCTCCATATTTGTACTTTATGTATCCTTTGAGGGTAGTCATACTATCTAGCTTTGCTTACTTTGTCAACCCTCCTGTTTAATGTTTTCGATTAGTTACAACCAGCCTTACTTTATTCTACATATATTCTTTTGTCATGTGTAAATTTGCAATATTTGTTTGTTATATATTTGTAAAAATGCAAAAGAAAAAGAAAATCAAACAGAAATAAATAAATCAAATCATAATCAAATAATATAGTATTAATGACTGCTTTGAGAGAAATAGTTGTTTTTATACGCTCTCGGGAAGGTTAGAATTGTGCTATTGCCCGAGGCGTGCCGAGGGCAATATCCCAATTGTAACCTTCCCGTGAGCGTATAAAAACAACTATTTCTCGAATATTAAAGCAGTCATTAATACTTTTATATGCCGAAAACAAAAGAGTCAACTAATGACACCACCTTGGCCTTTTTCTAGTTTATCTGCACGGTTGTTTTTTACGAGTGTATCTTTGAGAGTAGACTAGATCTAGATTCTAGTCTAAGACTAAGCAAGATATTTTTACAATTTTGGGGGTGGGCCGGCCCTGTGGGGAAATATGGAGAAGAACCTGCGCTTTCATATGACACCTCACTTATTGAGTATCACCTTCAGGATCACAATAGATAAAGGTTTGAATCTCGAATTGAACAAAAAAACTTGACTTTTTTTTGCATGGTCGCGCAATGCACGTAGACTGCATAGAGACTGCATTGCGTGCAATCTCTATGGGAAGAATTTCAGCGCACAACATCGGGTGCGCGATCAGACACCCAGCTCGATCTATTTTCGTCTACGTCTATGCTGGTACTCCATTTTCAGCAACTAAACGAACATGTTTATGAATAATTTCACGTACCCTTTTTGTTGTTATTGCTGTCAGCGAGTCTTGCATTTGATAAGTTGAAATCTTGGGAGAGTTTCTTTAGCCATTTTTGTCTTGTTTGGAATTGTCTTGTCTTGTATGAAAATACCGACCAATTCTTCGCACACGTACGGTATCCTCGATCGCTCAAACCATTTGTTAACATGTAAACCTATGGTTACTGGGATTTTAGAACTATTTTTAGAACTATATTTCCCGGTAACCATGGTAACTGGGATTTTAGAACTATTTTTTTTTAAACTATTACATGGGTTTGGAATTTTACCGGAATTTTACATGAATAGTTAAAGTTTATGAATGCAATTTCGACCAATCAGATGGCTGGATTTCTTAAGTGAGGTATCTAAAATAAAATAAAATATATGTAATTCATTAGTATTATTGTTGTTCTAATACATTCCGAATGTACTAAATGAATGGAAGAAAACATGCAAATCAAATGAATACTTTGCTCAAAACCTATAATAATGTGGTTGATGAAAGATACAAAATGGAGAGTGCTATACATGAAAAGATGACTTTGTTAAAAAAAAAACATGTTTCAGGAATTTGCATGTAGTTTAAAGAAACTATGTCCATTTTACAGGTCAAAAAAATGAAAAGGTTAAATTCCTTTGGCATTTGAAAGATAAGTCTAATTTTGAACTCCCCTTGAAAAAATGGGGCTTGAAAATGTCTTTAAGTGGGAAAATAATGACTATTAGTTGTTAAATCGACTTAAGAGCTATAGAGCCAATAAGTAATAGTCTTGATTTTCAGACCATTGTACCGCATGGTCGTACGTTTTATGCTGCGCAAAGATTCAACCAGTTCAATTTTGATCATTACAAGAAGCGGTTTATTGATGTAAACAAATCCTTTACAGCTCAATTTATGTATGTTATTACCAAAGAAGAAGAAAAACCAGTCAGTCACTCAATACTGACAATAGTGTCTGACAGTGAAGTCTAGCAAGTAAACGGGTTTCCTTGCATAATTTGAATATAAGGACACTGCTAACGTTTAAAATTCACAGATAGGACATACATGACATATTCATAATTCCTGCAAAGTTCTACAGAATTTGAGGTTGGCTGCAAAAGGGACATAGTATCTTTAAGTTATTTTCAAGCCCCCTTTCTTTTAGAGAAGTTCTAAATTAGTATTATCTTTCAAATGCCGTTGGAATTTAACCTTTTCATTTTTTGGGCCTGCAAATGGGACATAGTACCTTTAAGGGACTAAAGCACAACAAAATTACTCTAAAACAATACTTTGCTTTGACATACAATGCTACAGATATTCATAACACGGTTTTGGGGTCCACAAACGTTATCGTCGACTCGTCATATTTCGAATATGAGGACATTTGAAGAGCCATCCTATGATACGCATCCGCATACATAATGAAAAAGCTTACAAAAGATGTTTCACCTTTTCCAGAATTTAACCTTCGTTTTACAGTGAGAAAAGGGAAGTGATATTACAATTGTATGGGATACATGATCATGTGAACTTTTTTGTTTGTTCTGAAACACTTACCATTTCCTGGTCAACACTTGAAGCTGTCCATTAATATCAAGAGAAAGGGAGGGGGAAAAAGAGAAAATTGAGAGAGTTAAATTCCCATAATACATAATAGGACCAATATTTTCCCTTTTCATGAATGAAATTGAAACTGAAAACGTTCAATTATATTTGTTTATATTTGTTGTGGTATCAATACACTATCTTTGTAATGTATTGAAATATAAGGCTTAAATCTTTGTTAAAGTCCATTTAAAGTGTTGGAAGCCACAAATTTGCCCACGATTTGATGGTGCTGGAAGAAAAAAAATTGATGAAAGTAAACAAAATTTAGGTTTTCTCTTCTACGCAGATAATCTAAATTTGTGTATTCTTTCATCAATATTCGACTTCAAACACATTTGTTTTTAAATCCTTGCAGAAATGTATCTTAAATTACATCCTCTTTTACATTATGATACAATTAAGTGACATTTTGCCATCAAGTGCCATGTTACAAATTATATCATTCACCTGTACGCTGTTACGAATAATTGTATTTCTATAGTCAGAATGCGGATTGCATACATTCCGTGGTGTTAAGTAGGATAAGCCATAATGTCTGTTTCATTGATGCATTAAATTCGATTACTTTACAAAAATGGTCTATTGAACAGAAATGGTCTCAATGAGGGGCGACTATAAGACTGGGGTGCAGAAAGGGGGCTGTCATGTTCTCCCTTTGCCATTTCTTACCCTCTCTCCCTTTTCATTTTTGCCCCTTAATCATGAGAGCAATGTAGGGAGCCTATGCCTACCAACCAACCCCCCCCCCCCCCCATGGCATCCTCTACTACGCCACTGTCAGGGAAAAGGAAAGTAAATGTACCTTCATATGATATTATAATAATATTTACCATTTTTTCTATGTTGCTCAAGTAAACACTTGTAAGTGTTTCAAAAGGTTCTTCTGATAGAAAACGAAATTAAGATCTTAATCGTTTTAGTATGTATGCGAACTAGTGAAATAGGTCAATGAATTCACTATAACGCACAAAATGCATTAAAGTTTGATCACCAGTATCATGTATGTATGTTTAATTGGGTTCTGAAATCCTGAAACTCTTCAGTGATAGAATACCTCAACTATTTATGATGTTAAATGTTTCCAGGTTTAATGTTTTTAGTATTAAGAATTGGTAAACCAGATATACATTTGCATATATGTAAGAGGATCTATGTATTGAAATAAATATCAACATGTGCATACAT